TGCTCACCATACAACTGCAGCCCAAAGTGTAACCACCACCCCACCAGGGCTGCGTCCTGTCCCGGCAGGGGCTGTCAATCTGAAGAGAAGCTTTGATGCCGTGGGGTTGGGGGAGAGCGAGCGAGCGAGCGGCCAGTCGCACCTAGAAGCAGAGTCTGACCTGGTGGAAACAACGTGAAATTGTTCACTATGGATTAGTGACTAACCGCAAGGAAGCCTGTGCTTGCCATGCTTAATGGGCAATCCTACCCTAGCCTAAGATGCCCTGACCTTCAGCAGTGAGGCCAACCCTGACCCATCAGCTGCTCTGCCTGCCCACGCTCACCACCCCGGGCGGCCTGCGCCCCGCTCAGGAGGCAGGGCCAGGTGCCTGGTGTGGCCATTGAGGGTAACTGGCGGTCCAGTAGGTGAAGGGCTGGACTGCTCACCGGAAGGCGGTTCAAACCCACCAGCTTCTCCGCGGGAGAAGATGAGCTATCGGCCCTCCTGAGGAGTTCCGGTCTCAGAACCACGGAGCAGCTCTGTTCCCTCCCGTGGGTCCCTGGGAGGGGAAGGGCTCGGTGACAGTGGGTTGGTTTGGGCTGTAGCACGACAGGGACTGCCCCTCTGCGCCAAGCTCACTCCACTCCCTGCAGAAAGGGCAGCAGCTCCTCCACTCTGGAGAGGTGCTGACAAGGGAGGGGCAGGAGGGCGGCCTGGCCATGGAACCCTAACACCGTCAGCAGCGGGAGAAGGCTGGTGGCTCCTGGGCTGCAAGGTGACCAGCAAGATGACAGTTTAGTCACCAGTACCTGGTGCTGATGTCACCAGACTGCTCCGTCCAGCTGTGCCCCCTGCCGGCCACGTTGGACACGCTCAGCAGGAAAGGCCATGCATTGGTCAGTATCTGGTCCATCTATGGAGGGTCTGCCTAGCTCCCTCCCCAGCCTCGGCCCAGAAGATGCGCTCCTCCAGCCCAGCCCGCCACACACCCTTGGTCAGCTCCAACCTTGGCGCTGCCCACGTGCAGGCACTCAGCTCTGTCACAGTGAGCACAGCAGTCAGGCACGGCCTCCACACAGCTAGAGTTCTTTGGGCTTTTCGGGGGGGCTGGGGGGCTTGAACCACATCCCTAGGAACTAGGGGGGAAGTTTGGGACATCCTTGCACGCCGGCCTTTCAGGAAAAATGCCGTTGTAGTCAGGTGCCTGGAGTCTGGGCCAGCTCACAGCGACCCTATCTGTGCACAACACAGTGACACGCTGCCTGGTCCACGGAGTCACGAGTGTCTTGCTGGGACGCACTGTGGCAGCCGCTGTGGCCTCCATCTCTCTCGCTGCCCCTCTGCTTTACCAAGCATGATGTCTTTCTCAAAGACTGGTTTCTCCCGGCGGCCTGTCCAAAGCACATGGATGAAGCCTCTCCATCCCTGCTTCTAAGGAGCATTCCGGCTGCAAGTCTTCCGAGACAGATTCCATTGTCCTTTCGGCGCTCCGGGGCACTGCCAGTGCTCTCTGTCAGCACCGGGTTCAAATGCACCGACTCTTCTTTGCTCCCTTCAATATCCAATTTCACGTGCCTACGAGGCAATTCAAACATGGCTTGGCTCAGGTGCACCTTAGTCCTCAAAGTAGCATCCCTACCTGCAACCCTGTCAAGAGGTCTCATGCAGCAGGCTGACCCAATGCGATGCATCCTTTGCTGCCGTGGGCACTGATTGTGGATCCAGCACCATCCTTCACCACTTCCATCTTTTCTCCGTTTATTATGATGCTGCCTCCTAGTTCGGCCGTGAGGGTTTGGGGTTGTTACATTAAGTTGTAATCCACGCTGCAGGCTGACATTCTCCATCTGCTTCAAGTCCTCCTCCTTTCAGCAAGTACTGTGTCACCCGCTATCGCAGGTTGTTAATCAGCGTTCTTCAGACACAGTGGCCACTACTGTTGGACTGGCTGGATGCTGGCACTGAGGAAGCATTGTTTTACTCCTGCACTCCCCCTTGAGATAAGTAGGAGTATTCGCCTCTTTCTACCCAAAGGAACACTGAGACTGATGATGATTCTACTTTTTACATTTCAGTAAGTCATTTATTGGGGGGCTCTTATAATAATCCATACATTCACTGTATCAAGCACATTTGTACATATGCTGCCATCATCCTTTTCACAATATTTTTTTTCTACTTGAGCCTTTGGTATCAGCTCCTCTTTTTCCCCTCCCTCGCTCTTCCCACCCCTTGTGAATCCTTGATAAATTATAAATTCTTATTATTTTCTTAGCTTACACTTACTGCTGTCTCCTTTCACCCAAGTTTCTGTTGTTCTTTCTTCTGGGGCGGCAGTTAATACGTTGATCATTGTGATTGGTCCCCCTTCTCTCCCCACCTCCCCGTGCCCTCTTGGTATTGTTATTTCCATTACTGTTTCTGAGGGGTTTATCTGTCCTGGATTCTGTGTGTCATGAGCTCTTATCTGTACCAGTGTACATGCTCTGGTCTAGCCAGATTTGTAAGGTAGAATTGGGATCATGATAGTGGCGGGGAAGGAAGCATTAAAGAACTAGAGGAAAGTTGTATGTTTCATCGTTGCTACACTGCACCCTGACTGGCTCATCTC